GGATAACGGCAAGATTGAGGCTAGCCTGAACTATATAGCAGGACTCAGTCTCAAAAAACAAACAAATAAGGCCGAGGATATAGCTGGGCAGCACATTGCCTGCCTCACAAGAACAAGGTCCTGAGTTTGATTCCCAGTACCAAACAAAAAAGAAATCAAAAAACAAACAAAACAAAATGGAGGGTCGGCCAGATAACTCAGCAGATTAAAGCACCTGCTTAGGCAGACGCAGGGACAGAGGTTCGATCCCCAGTGTGCTATGCTGGCTCCGCCCCTGGGGTGCGCTGAGCTGGCAACTGAGGCTGGGGATAGGGATACACACCTATAATCCCAGCACTTGGGAGGCTGAAAACAGGAGGATCACTACAAGTCTGATCTACAATGGTGAGACCCTGTAGACCCTATACTAAACACATTAAAAAAAAAAACAGTTCTTTGATTGGACATCAGTGTTGTTTTTGCTAAGCCACCAGCTTCTCTCACAGATGTATATATCTGTATGTTAAGGAAAATGAGAAACTACTGAACAGCCAATGTCTAGTCATCAGGGTAATAAAAGAAAAATGAAAAGTGAGGACAGATTGGAGAACGTCTGTGTCACCACCACACCCTTATTTGGGACACCTGTGAAGGTAATTCATGTAGCTGATGACCAGCTGGCCTTCCTGAGCCAGAAAGGAAATTTTCTTTCAAGGATGATACAAACTTCTATGGCTTTCCTTCTAATACAAGCTACTAAGGGGCCAACAGATCACAGTCATTCCATTTCCACAAGTGCCAGCAGCTTTATATAGAGAGATATTTATAGGCTAAAAATGTTGCTCACCTGTCTGAGTTTGTTTCAGTTGCAATTTTAAATCAGCAACCTGACCAGTTAACCTCTTTACAGAAGAATCATAATCTAATAGCTGGGCCTTTAGCTGTGTAGAATGTTCAATCTGAAAAGATGCAGAAAAGAACAACAAATCGTAGCTTGCATCAAGGCAAAACTGGCTCATTATGCTTATCCTCTTTTCTGTCTCACCAATTCTGGGAGGCTTTACACCAGTAATCAATGGATCACTATTTAAAACAACACCAAGAAACAAAACACACAGACAAGCTTTTTGCTACCTTTTCCATAGCAAACAGCAGCTACCTTTGGGGCATGCAGGCAGAAAGAAGAAAAAAACATGAAGGGCTGGGGAGATAGCTTGGTGACAGACACCTGCCTGGCAGAAAGAAACATGAATATCTGTAAGACTCAGAAGGAGAAGCAGAGACTACCATGGCTACTACCAGACACTCACAAAATTGTGTGTTTAGATCGGTTTGTTTTTCATTCAATTTTACTATTATGAAAATAGTCAAATCATCACTAGAGAATTTTCTAAGATGAGAAAAGATCATTTAGCACATTTAGGGGAGACATTTCTGATGTGAAAATAGACGTGATTTGTGCTGGTGTAGCTTGTGCCAAAATTTGCAGAGCTACAAATGGCCTGGCCTAAAGTGGGCGCAAGTACAGAGCAATACTCACTTCACTTTGCAGTTGTTTTTGCAGAACTTGCCTGTGAGTTTCAAACTCCTTATGCTCAAATGTGATTAGATCTTCTGCTTTCTTTAATTCTTTCTGAAAAACTAGAAGTTCAGGAGCTGGCTGGGCCATGCCTAAGAAAGCAGAAGAAAAATCCTGGTTATTACCAACCTAAAGTTTGCTCATATTATTTAACAGGCAGCTAAAGAGAGTTTAAGAGCTTTTTATCTGTGTACTCCTGCAATTAATATTCTATCAATTGTACCTGGACTAAAAACAATCCCAATTCACAAGTTTCAGAACAAAAGAATTTAATGCATATTAATGCATTCCTTGCTACTCTTGGAGTCCCACCCAAGTAAAAAAATTCTTTCAAATCCACAAATTATGCCAAAGCCTGCCTCTCTCCTCTACCACACACAGAAAGCCTAGAAGGAGCTCTTTTGCAGTGCTCCTGTGGATGACTTCCCTGAGGTCTTATCCAATCTGAGCAATGACAGTAATAGGCAGAGAATGGTAGGGTACTCAATTCAAGTCACCTGAGGACCCTTTCATAAAAGGCACCATACGCTGGGTAACAGCAGAGGACTGTATCGTTTCCGGGCCAGAAATGAAGCCAGGATGAGAGCAGCACTCAGGTCTGGCAGGTGTAGGGAAGGAGAAATTCCTGGAAGTGGGGAGGCTGAGCAGGTACAGTGCACAGCGCTGGCGACGGGCCAGCAGTAGGTACTAAGGCCTCAGTTGGCTGAGAGGTACAGTGGTCCAGGGCAGCTGGACATGGAAGTGGGGTGACAATGAGGTGATAACCATCTCACTCTCCTCTCTCTGCCTCCCTCCAAGGGCTTCCTAGAGTCCCTAGCGGCTAAATCCCAGCAGGAGTCCAAGGACAGTGAGCACGGACACTACACACAGAGCAGCAGTTTCAAGGTGGTCCTTCTTCCAATGACACTGTTACTTATGCAAAACAATTCCAGTGCAAGAATCTTAAGCCTCGCTCACAAGTACAAAGCATAGTTTCGTAACAACGACTTAATATGAGCTATGGAAACATTCACATTAGCAGCAATAAAGACATACGGTTTAGGAGACGCAAGTTTTCATTTTTACTGTCTTCAAGTTGTTGTTTAAGTAATTTATTTTGTGCCTGAAGCTCTACTCTCTCTTCCTTCAGTTGTGAATAATCACTCATCTCTTTAACTTTTTGATTCAGCAAGTGGTTCTGTTTGGTTGTTGTCACAAACTCTGCTTTGATGGACTCTAACTCAAGCTGGAAGTGAGAGAGGAAAACGTCCATGTGAATCATCATCTCGCAGCACTGTGAGCATGAAAGCTGGGGGGCTGCTTCAAGCTGAGTGGCAACTTTCTGATGGTCACTGGTCAGAGGTCGGGTTCTTGGCCACCACAGGGCCTAACTACCATACAGTTAGGAAAGTCATCTGCACCAGAAGTGGGCGCGGGCCACTCGCAACCTGAATCTGTAGGCCCCGTCCTATGAAGTAAATTTTTCTGATGAAAGTAATCCCTCAGTTTTCCAAACACAAGCAGGATCCAATAACAATCATACATTGTGGCTGTACATTTTTAAAGTAGGAAAAGGTGAGACAGACACATTCCCTAAACTTGCTGTGAAGTGCTTTCTTTTTCTTAGTATCAACTTTGGATACAGAAGCTTTAATAGTTCTCAAATAAGCCAGCATGCATGGCTAACAATGTGAATTTTACTGACAAGATATACATTTTCAGTGTTCAAAAGTTGTGGCTCTACCCTTCAGAAAGCAAGCACACTAATGAACAAAGGTAATAGCAGTGTGTGGAAAGCATGTCTCACTTAAGACAGTGATGTGATGGTATCCAATTTTCCCCACTGCTAATGGTACACGAGACAAGGCGGGGCTCGAGGCTTGCTTTTATTGGCCATCTGCTATAAGCTAGGCACGTAAGTAGCTTGCTCACTTCCCTTAACAACTATATGATGGCAGGAAATATCTCAAGTGTACAGATCAGAAATCCAAGCTCACGGGACCCACCCAAAAGCACCCAAGCACTAAGGGAGAAAGACAGGACTCTAGGACCCAAAGCTCTTCCTCCACTGAAATTAAGAACTACTGAATTAACTTCAATCATAACTTCTTAGTCACAGAACAATCAATCCAAACAGATCAAAGGGATGCCTTCCAAAAAACTTTAACTAAAACCCTCCTACAATTTCATGTATTGCTTGAATCCTATTTTAAACAAATGGGCTTCACAATTACCTCAAGTTCTTTCATACGATTTGCAGACTGACTGAGTTCTTCCTTTCTTGAATTTATAGCTGCAAGCTCCTCTTGCAAAAGAAGAGCTTTTTCTGAAACAAAGAACTTACCAATTAAATGTTTTCCCAGTGAATGCAAATTTAATAATTTCTGGCCAGTATGTCAGACCTAATGACCATTGCTTCATGATCTAAAATAGTAAATGTAGGAGGCAAATATTTAGCAGCAAGCTAAGATCTAAACCTTACTATCCAACGATGACGTTGAGTTAGTACTGTCCAATGTGCTGCACTGTAACCAGTTACTGCACATGGCCCTAATGTCCACAGTCTAATTTCTTCCCAGACAAAGGTCTGTTAGAATTTTTTTCCCATAATTTTATTGAGAAACAAATAGCAATGAAACAGTTTCAAACCAAACTGGTAGGACAGTTTCAATAATTAACACATTGCATACATTCTTCCTAGTGGTTAATTGCTGTACAAGATGCAGACATGATATTCCATTTACAAACACTATTAGAACAAATCCCTCTATTCATTAAGAGAATGTAACTGTATATCTATTCTAACCATTTTGAATACACGATACATTCAGGGGCTGGGGAGATGGCTCAGTAGAATAAGTGCTTGCCTGGCAAGCACAAGGGTCTGAGTTCAATCCCCGGTTCTGCAAAAAAACCAAAATGGACATTCATCTGTATCCCCTTTTTTTGTTTAGTTCCATTATTTGAATATTATAGGTGTGTTAACTCAGCAAAATATTCTAAGAGTACAATAGCCCATAACAGTATTGGGACGTCCGCTTCACGGGCAATGTCAGAAATTGTTGACCTGAGTCCCCCACAGCTCAACATAACAGCGTGGATTTACTTCTTATTAGAATTTTATAGTTTCCACTCCAACACAGTTCTAGGTAAAGTTGTCATCAAAAAATAATTTGATGGGCTGGGGAGATAGCTCAGTAGAATAAGCGTTTGCCTTGCAAGCACAAGATTCTGAGTTCAATCCCCAGGACTGCAAAAAAAAAATTGATAATTGCATGATGGTACTAATCCACAAAAGGAATACTGGCAAAGGAGCTGTTATACCTTGGGAATATAACTTACTGTTAAGCATCTGCACTATATTTTCACCAAAAGGTCAATTCTGTTACAGGCAATTTCCTAGAAATACATTCCAATGTAAAAGGTCTGTACCTGTTCTTAGCCAACAGGCTGAGAAACAATGTAATATAAAATATCTGAAGACTGAAAAATTACTCAGCCTCAGTCTTAGGGCAATGTGTACAACAGCTTAGGAGCATAGGTGTCAAGTGAAAATGCCATGATTCACAAAAATATATTAGAAGCAAAAGAAATAAAGTCACAGAGGAGGGAGAACTGAAAATATAATTTCCCATAAGTGAAAAGTAAAGCCTTGCTGAGTGTGGTGGCGCACACCTGTAATTCCAACACTCAGGAGGCTGAGGCAAGAGGAGCACTGTGAGTCTGAGGCCAGCCTGGGCTACATAGCGAGTTCATGACCAGCCTGAACCACACAGCAAGTCTCTATCTCAAAAAAACAGGAAAAGAAAAAACCCAACAAAACAAACAATAACTACAGTCTCTGTGGTTAAGAGTATTTACCAAAGAGCAATAATTTGCTATCACCTTCTTGATAATCACAGATCTATCAAAATCTAATGAAATGAAGTTGGAGAAATTATTCATAAATCACTGGCCTTCATGAATATAAAGGAAGTTAAACATGAAGGTTTCCTTTTACAATTTTTTAAAATTTTGTAAAATCATAAAAAATTGTAATTCTAGAGTAAAACTAAAGTGCAAGTTATGCAGTTTCAACAATATAGAACAGAGCCAACTTAGAAAGCTAGTAAGTTACCACAAAACTGAAAAATACAGTGCCCACCCCAACCCCCAATCACCTTTATTCTTCCTTTCATCTTCAATTAGCCTATTAGTTCTAGTGATGTAATCTTCCTTTAGTTCAAGTTGATACCTGAGAATCAAAATGACCGAAAATGAGTTCCTCGTCATCTTGCCGGAAAGACTGCTATTACTGCAAGAGCTTATCTACAGCAATGGGAACAGAAGGCCTGCATGTGACAATGCCCAAACTTCAAAGTCTCTCAGTACTAAGGCTGGGGCCCTCAGTTCTCAACACAAAATCTCTGAGAACACTCTTTACCTGCCTTCATCCTGTAAATGGGGACTCAAATCAATCGCACAAAATGAAGAGTGCTGCTCTGAGGTCACTGACGGCAATTATATTTTAGCTGCTCTGACTGGCACAGAGAGCAAAGAAGTAAACTAAGCTACACTTAACCCAGCACATGAGGGACTCAATCCCCCAGACCAATGAGGTGGCCACATTCCATCCACCTCCTGGCCCCAACCAGAACGTCTGCCCTTAGGCTCTAAGCACTGGGCTTTAGGCACCTAAACACTGACTACTAAGTACTGCCAGCCAGCCGCCCACAACACTCCATCCGGATCAGCCACACCAAAAGGTGCATTTTCATGGAGTTGTACTTGTCTTGACCAGCTACTACCAGCTGCTTTCCTGGTTCAGACATGGGAGAAAGGACAGACAAACCCTTGGATGGGTGCTGTCCAAGTGCTCACGCTTGCCAGTCACAAGAGGTCTCCTAGGCCAAGGCAAGGGTCAAAATGATTCCCAGCAGTTCACAGACTTCAGAACGACATCAAGCAAATATACACACTTTTCCTCATTCATTGCTAAAGGGTTAGCAATACAGTACTCCCGTGCTTCCCACTTTTGTAAAAGAGCAGACATGATATGTGATGAAAATTTATCATTTTGCCAGGCGTGGTGGCCCATGCCTGTATTCCCAGTGCTCAGGAGGCGGAGGCAGAATGATTGCTGTGAGTTCAGGACTAACCTGGGCTACAAAGTGAGCTCAAGGCCAGCCTGAGCTGCATAACAAGACCCTGTCTCAAAAAAAAAAGTGTCATTTCAAAATTGATAGATGGAAAGCTCCTATTTCCCTTTTTAACACAATTCACTTAAGGAATAAGTTCCAGAATCCTGCTAAAGTGCTCCACAATGGATAATCAATGACAAATTATAGGCAGCAGAGAAGAAAGACCAATGAGTATGAAATGCCTAGGGCAGCTGAGTGGAGTCATCTCTTCATTATACATTTACTTAAGAAATATTATCTGAGCAGGTATTTACTGCTCCATGCAATACTGCTACTGAGAAAAGCTACTGTAAGGGCATAATGGCCTTGCACTGAGATACCATTCCCTTGGTACCCAAAATTCAGACTGGGAAAAGCTAAAGTAACTGTAGCTATCTGTACTTTCCCTCCCATATATCATTTTGCTTCATATAGGTAGCTTTAGTTCATTTGTTTAGATTCTGGCTTTGCAGAATCTTGAATACAGAGCACACATTCACAGACAAGTACTCTAACCTCTAGGTAGAATAATGTGCAAATTATCATCATTTCAGCAGCAGTCTGAGTGGAGCAGAGGGACAGATAACTAGAAGTGATTGGATTCCAATTCTACAGCTCCCGAGCTCACAAGGATGAGCAAGTCAGTGACAAAGTGCCCTCAAAGGGAAAGCAAACCGCAGGCGCTCAGTAACTCACAGATGCTCTGCGAAAGGGTGAAAGATACAATTTCCTATCCCTATGTTTTACGTGCGCCCTAACTCAGATCCTCATGGGAAATGACTATCGAATAGGTATTTTTTCAAACACAAGATTTTGCCATAAAGTCACATCTCTTCCACCAGCTCTTGTCACATTTCCATCAACTTACTTCAAACATACTACTCCCTTAGGGGACCAAGAGGTGAGGGAAGGGAGAGGGCCATAAAAGGAATGAAGGTGTCTTACCAACACGGACCAATTTCCCACAGTGAATGTAAACATTATGTACTGCAATTGTATACAAAGAAAAAAAATTTAAAAGGCAAACAGTTACTTTAGAAGTTCATTCTTGAGCTTTTGCTCATAGTTCTCTTCAACAGTCTCTATATTTTGCTCCCGTTTCCTAAGGGCCTCGGTCACACTTTTATTTTTTTCTTCTTGGAGCCTTTGGGTCCTGAAATTAACAAAAATATACAAAGTAAACAATATATAGTAATTGAGGTAAGGAATTAAAGGGGAAAATAAGATATACTCATGGTTTGAGAGACTAATACTGTTTTGTGATTGTCACTTACTGGAAAGTAAATGAAAGAGCCAGAAATCCTCTCACCACTTTACAAAATTACCTAGTTACAGTGTAACCAAAAGAACAGAGGGAACTGGATAGAAGGGGGCTGGGAGCAGGTCGGTGGGAAAGACTTAAGACCAAAGCAGTTCCTTAATCAGTTTAGGGGTGGGGGAATGATAAGTTTCAGATTCACAAAGTTACAAGTTACAGTCCTTATGTGCTTGTCTTCTCTATAATACTGCTTTTAACTGGGGGATCTAAGTCATCAGTGGATAGATAACAAGGGTGGTTTTTATTACGCAATGATCTGTTGCTTGAATATGGATAGAACAGTGTCAAAGAGAAAGCAAGACTTAGAAGACTGATCAGCGCTCTCAAATGCCAGAGTCATCTCCTTCCTATATAGGTACTCATCACATCTTCACAGGTTTCTAGCGTTGTTTCAATTGTATTAGTCCGTATTCACAGTACAAATTGATTACATTCACCACGGGCAGTTGGCCCATGTACGTAACACATCTTAATTCTTTCACTGCCCTTTTCCCTCTTCTTCCCTCCATCTCTCGGTCTCCTTTCCAGCTGCAAAGGACCCATGTCCCTCTTTCTTATCAGAGCAATACTAAAGCCAACTCTCCAGCAGAGGCTGGGCTCACAGTTACTAGATGAAGCTATAAGAACTACAGAACTGAAGACCAGTCAGAGCAGAGCAAAGGCTCCATGCATTCGCTCCCTCTGCTGGCCAGCCTGGAAAGGCACATCTATGCCACGTCGCTGCTGAGGTGGCCACAGCAGCACAGGAACTGGAAGTAAAAGGGGCCAGGGAGATGGCTCAGTAGAATAAGCGCTTCCCTGGTAAGCAGTCAAGCGGAAGACCCAATACTATTATGGACTACTGGACTCTTCAAATATTTTGCTGAGTTAACACACCTATAATATTCAAATAACAGAACTAAACAAAAAAGGGGATACAGATGAATGTCCATTTGTATCTATGTATTCAAAATGGTTAGAATAGATACATAGCTACATTCCCTTAATGAATAGAGGGATTTGTTCTAATAGTGTTTGTAAACAGGATATCATGCCTGCATCTTGTATAGGAAATAACCACTAGGAAGAGAGTATGCAATGTGTTAATTATTGGAACTGTCCTATCAATTTGATTTGAAACTGTCTCATTGTTATTTGTTTCTCAATAAAATTAGGGGGGAAAAAAGGAAGTGGAAGCAAAAAAGTGCCAGTAGGCCTTCTTTTTCTCTAATTTTTTGGTCTGCAAACTTAAGTTGTTAACCCTCTAGAAGAGAAGCTTAATGATATTATTACCCTGTAACATAGGAATTTGAGCTTAACATCACTGTCTGAATATCAAATGAATTAGACATAACATAGAACAGGTATTTTCCAACAATCGTTGATATGCTAAACTTTAAATCCCTATAAATTGTGAAAATAATAAATAAAATAGTAAAATAAAAATAAACAATTACACATTTTTACACAGAAATTTAGAATCTAACCATATACAACACTGTAGCAGGACAGTCCTATGACATTTTTTCCTTGTCTCTTATTTTATTACCTTTTTTAAAAAACATTTACTTGAGAGAGGGTATAGCAATATTTGATATGACATTAGAAGCAGTACACATTTAGACCAGAATGACGGGCATTCCAAGCATGGCCCTAGTATTACACATTGCTATCCTCGGTGCAGTTGCTCAGCTCACAGGTATCGGCATATATGGTCAGTCAGGGTGAGAATCCCACCAATTAACTGCTAGTTTCAAAAACTTGGAGTGCCTTACCCATTTGTGTATATAAAAGTATGGTTTTGCCCCTGCCATGTTTCCTAGCTTTTCTCCTTGCCCTCTCTTCGTTGTTTAATCCTTAAGTTCTTGCTTTCCATTTAATTGTGTTATACCTTTCAATTTTTATTTCTTCTTTTGAGTTCCTATACTAGGGAGACTATACGATATTTACACATGTGGGTGTGGTGTATGTACAAAATAGGATAGATATATACAGCTACTTTCTCTTAGTTCAATGAGAAGATTTATACTAATAGTGTTTAGACAAGATATCATGTCTGCATCTTGTACTCTGAATAACTACTATGAAGACAACAATATACAATGTATTGTAACTGTCCTACTAACCTGTTTTGAAACTGTCTCATTGCTATTTTTTTTTTAATTTTAGGACAGGGTCTACAGGGTGTTCAGGATCTCACTACTAGATCAGACTCGCAGTGATTCACCTACTTACACCCTCCCAAGAGCTGGGATTACAGGTGCACGCCACCACACCCAGTCTCAATTGTCATCTCAGCATGCCCTGGGGGCGGGGTGGGCACAGGAGGCCCGGGAATCAAACCCCCGGCCCCTGCACCTGCTTGCAGGCACTTTAATCTGCTGAGCTATATGGCCAGCCCTCTTTCTCCATAAAATTAATTTTTAAAAGTGCCAGTATAGCCATGAATTCTCTCTACCCAAAATGTGCTCCTGTCTCTGTCGATCAGTTTGCCTCTTCATGCTGTCAAAAGGAGAGTACCACATACACAGAGAATAAAAATCAAACAAATAGCCCACAGAAGTGAACAAGCATTAATGAAGACAGAGACAAAGTCTTTAATGTACTAAGCTTCCTAGAGTACCTATGGGTATTAACTAACTGCACATTCCAAATGGGAAAGAAGGCTAACCACACAAGTTGTAGATGGGTCAGCCCATTGCCAGCCAAGATCTGAAGGAGGAAACACTGTGAACACTCAGAGAAAAGCGCAGCACACACTATGACAAAGGCTTGCACCCATGACAAATTCAGTCAGAGCGCCACATTTCACTGTTAGAGCACACAGCAGCAAGCCTGGATAGGTGGAATCTAACCGTATACAAGAAACTAAAGGATCTGAACAACTGAGGCAAACTGCAAAATAGATGATTCGGTCAAGCTCCTCTCAACTATTTGTCTGGTCTTACTGTGTGTAATGCCAATGTTTCATTTTAGTTTTCATCTTAATTTCTTTCTTTCCTTCCTTCCTTCCTTCCTTCCTTCCTTCCTTCCTTCCTTCCTTCCTTCTTTCGTGGAACTGGGGATTGAACTCAGGCCCTTGCGCTTGCCAGGGAAGCGCTTATTCTACTGAGCCATCACCCCGGCCCCCTTCATCTTAATTTCTAATTTTTCACAAGCAAAATCTTAGTCTTTGTTTCTTTTCACTTATTCCTTTCTAAAGCTAGATTATATCACATTTACAACCAAGAACTTCACTTCACAACTGACAGTAGGATGTTTCGACATATTTTAGCAAATCTTTTTCACCTCAGAGTATTCAAAACAAATATGCATTACTTACAATTCAAAAGCTTCAACTCTTTGCTTCAGCTCTGCTTCTCTGCCTCTCAGCAAATCTATATCTTTCAGTAGAATCTGCCTTTGAGCATAGATTTCTTTTGCTTCAGTCTGTATAGAATAGCATGGATTTTTAACAAGCAAAAGAAAACAAAACAGATTGGAACTCATGCATTACTCCTTAAATTCCAGAAAACAGACATTTAGGCAACACTTTCATCTTTAATATATTTCTGTTCAAAGCATGCTTTTGGTCTATTTTAACTGCATGAAAATTTACTCCCTTGTACAAAAAATTCTTCCAATGTCTACTAACCTTATTACCCTTTATTCCTAACATCCCATCTAATTACTCTATTCAATTCTTTAACATCTCTCAGTCTTTTACTTAAAAGTTTGATAAGCTTGTCAGCAAGGAAAATGAAAATGTACATTCAGTAATTAAAACTCCACAGGAACAGAGAATCCCCATGGCAATCTCCTAATGGTGGCAGAGGATGGATGTTTCAGTTCATCTGTAATTCTGGAGCAATACTAGCAAAACCATATGAACTCCTGAACGACCAGGCCGTCCTTCTACTTAGGCCTTCACCAAGCAAGGATTTATTAGCTCCTTATCACGTGATGAGACATACTAGAAGCTAAATAGAAAAAGGCAGACATACAATCCCCATCTCTCAGGCTCACCATTTGGTCAGGAAAAGAGAAACAAATAATAGTACTAAGATATAAGATTTCATAAGCAAGTGCATAAAGACTGCACACAGGAACAAGGTCTGAATGAATCACTCAGCAGGAGACTGAGATGGCCCCCTGGTGACATTCAAGCTGAATCCCTGAAGGCCAGTATGGTGTTCTCGGGGGAAGAAAGGGAGGTCTAGCTGGACATTCCAGGTGAGGGAACAGAGGCACACTGCCTCAGATGAGGATGTCAGTACTCTTTAATGCCTTTAGAGAATGTTAAGTAAATGTGGATCGAGTCAGTCATTCAGCATAGAACAGAAGTTAGCGGTCTATACACAATCCAGTTATTTCAAAGATCTATGTTTTCAACATTTATTTGTAAACTTAACTACAGAAGGGATTCTTTTACCATGAAATAAAGAGGCCCTGAGAAGCCCTAGGCATGGGTAGACAATAGGGGGAGCTTCTGTCTTTCGCATCTCCTGAGAGCAGCCCCTCTCACCGCACACAGGAAATAGTGCTGCAGAGCTGGACGAACCTCCAGCAGCAGACACGTTGCCTCCTGCCCTTTCTCAGCCTCTCCAGTGCCCACATAGTCCCTCAGTGATGAGTCATGCGGACGACCCTCCTGGCCCAGGACTCCACTTCCCAGGGACCCTCACCTTTGCTGGCTTCTGCAGCTTCACCCACTGACTGCTCACTGCACTGTTTCCATTGCTACTTGAAACCTCACTCTGCCATTCTGAACGTTTGGCCTACCCTTATTTTTCCACTGACTAGTCTCTCAGGGCCTATTCCTTGGTCACTTCAAGATGGCCCTGTGGCACTCCCTTAGCCCCTTCCCTCAGGTTGGGAGCCCACCACTTTCTCCTCTGCTTCTAGCCCTCCCTGTAACACCTAGCGCAGAACCAAGGTCTGCAGTTCAATAGCTGCCTTTCTTCAGGCATTGAGCTCTGCACAGTTCCACTCCCCAAGCACCTCCACTGTTCCACCTTGCTTAAAGGGCAGAAAGATACTACTGAGTTACAGAATGTCACAGCACAGGTTCTCTTATGTCCTGAGTCCTCACTGACCTTAAAGGGCTAGGGCCAAAATATTGACTATCCTTGAAGTTCTGTTTCATGTCTTTGTAATGTATTTTCAAAAGTAAAGTGAAGATAGCTACCTAGGGTCATCCAACAGAAAGGAGGCTCACAGATGCTCTGTGGTGTGTCCTCACCCACCTCACTTACCAGAGCTGGCAGGTAAGCCTCTCTCTGGCTCTTCCCCTATGTCAAAATGACTGTGAAACGTAATGATTTTGAACTGATTCAGGACATCAAGGCAGCCAAGACAGCGTAAGAAGACAGGACCCAGAACTTCCAGAACTACTTTAGAAACTGGCAAGAATGATTGCATAAGCATGTCCAAAGTCAGGGGGAGTATTATGGAGGTGATTAGTAACAATATGTCATTTACTGTAATAAAATGTTTTATTTTTAAAAAATGGCAGAAAGATAAAGCACTCATAAAGTACCTGTCCTCCAGAGCTAGGAGAGAACCTACTGCCAAGCCCATGTTTGGTATCTTGCTTCCAGCCTCCACCTGGCCTTCAACCCTGTCAACCAGTCCTCTCCATACAAATGAACTGCTTGCCCCCCCCCACACACAGCTGCAGCTCAACACCTCTGAGCCTCTCCTCATACTCCACTGACCCTGCCAAGCACCTGAGAAGATGGTGGCCATTCAGTGTGTGTCTTGCATCTCAGTGCAGAAGTTCGCCCTGCAGTCCTCTCCACCTCCATCTCGGCCCCACCCCGACTGCTCCTCCAGGGCCCTGTTCCATCCACTACCCCTCCCTTGGATCTTGAACCAACCTACCAATGGCTAGAGCAACATGCCACCTATTAAATTCTTTTCAAATATTACCTCCCGATGCTTCTGAATTCTTTCAAGGACATTCTTTTCCTGGGAAATGATGGCTTCGGTTTTTGCTCTACAAGTTCTCTCAAACTCATGACGGAACTCCGCTAATGCCTTCTCATGCTTTTTTTTCTCTTCCATTTTAATCTTCGCTATTTCAATCTCTTTAAAATGCTTCAGCTGAAAATTGAAAGTATAGTTACAATACTGAAAAAACAGTAACAAATTTTCTCTTCTTTTATGTGAATGCACTGTCTAAATATATCATATTTAGCTTAATTCATTTTTAGTTTTATTCCATTCACTGTGCCTGTAGGGCTCAGCCAAAGGGCAAGAACAAATTACATCAATTGGAAATTAAAATAACACATAACATAATATCCCATTGTCTAAGAAAGGGCCTGTGTATCTTCCCATATACCTAAGATCAAGATAGTGTATTAGAAGAAAAGCAAAAGTATTACTCTTGTTAACATCAGGCTTACCTTTTGACACATTTCTGCTTGAAGTTGTTGTTCTAGTGCACTCCTATATTCATTTAACTTTACTTCTACAGACTCTAGCTTTGGACGATGAGGATAAGCATCTGCAAACTGGTCATCAATACGCTGAAGCTTCTCCGCTATTAAAGAATAACACATCCAATCAGGATAAGC